TATAATTATGCGGACATGTATGACCGGAGGGACTCATATGAGTATGTGAAATTTGTCTTGTACTTGAAAGAGTCTTATGATGGTAAGCAACTCAACTCATGATCTTTAAATGATGTTCAGGAGTGATACATTCCTGACTGCTAGGATACATGTTCTTGTATTATTGGTATTTACAAAATCTCTGATACCCCTACACTCACACGATTTCTGGCTACGCCTATTAGATATTTAAAAAAAATAATAGGGAAATTTATAAGGTGGGCCCACATAGAAACATGGTGGGTTACATTGGTAAAGGATGGCTGTCGCCCTTTATAAAAACAAAATAAAATTTAAAATTTTATCAGAAAAGTTTAATGCAGAGCCAAGTTTAAATGAATACCTAAATTTACAAATAAATTTTGTAGTTTGTAAATCATGCCACAGATTGGATTAACCAGGGTCTAGAATTCAAACATTCTACCAAGGACAAATATATAAAATATAGACACTAAAGTTCTATACACTAACCCAGGAAAAGAAGTTTGTCCTCTCTCTAAAATTTTAATAGATAAAAATTATGATATTTCTACATTTATCTCATGTGTAGTATGGGGCCTGGTTTGTAATTTTTGAGGTTTAAGGAAGTTCAATCTGAGAAATCAATATACCTAACTAAAATAACTGCTTCTAGAGCCATAAAACATCTGAGGTAATCAGAGGTAAGATATACTTTGTGCTTCAGGTACTCAAATGCTTGTTAAATTATTTCTCATGTTAGAGGAAATATCATTTCAAATCACTTGGACAGATGTATGTGCATTTACACACACACACACACACTTCTTTTAGAGACTGCCACAACAATTCATAGGGCAACAGCCAAAGATTGATATCAGTAAAAATTCACATTTGATTTTCAGTTGACTGCCTCATATTTTGGTGGTGACCATCTGGGGAACTGGGCTGGAAGGGAAGGAAGACAAAGAGAATCCCAAGGCTCAGAATCTTGAAAAATGCCTATGGGATGGTAAACAGCATTGTGATATGTCAGTTGTCAGCCTCCTTGCTTATTTAGTATATCTTTTAATTCCCACTGTGTCTATCTCCCTTAGAGTCATTTTTAATTTTTGGAAACTATGGCCGTCGTAGCAGAAACATTTGGTCATCAACTCCAAGGCTGTTAAGGGAGCAACAGTATTATCTCGTGGGAACCATTTCAGTTCTTTGCACAAGAGCTGAATCAGTGAGTATGCTGTATGTTTCTTCCACTTTGAAGGGCACATCATTTTCACTTTCAGTCTTTGGACATCAGTGCACAAACACCCGGTATTCACTAGAGAAAAAAAATTAGTTCTATTTTTCTGTTAGGAAGTGAATTTCCATGTAAATTGATAGGTAGTTGATTGTCACTACCTATCAAAGGAAAAGCTAGTTTTTAGAATCCAAATGATTGATTAAAATTCCTTTAGTTTATTCTTTCAATAACATGGAATACTTCTAATGTCACAGATATTGTGGTAAGTGCCAGGGAAATACATAGGGGCAGGCAATAAAGAAAGCATTGATGACAAATGTCAGAGGGGTGAGAGTTGATAGTGTCTCTTTCTGGAGATATGTTTTTAGAGTATAGGATCCCAAGAACGATAACAAAGGCAATCTGGGCAGAGAGTGCCTTGACCGCATTTTGGGGAGTTTGAAGGAACAAATTGCTTATATGACTCAAATAAGAGGTTAGGGGATAGTGGAGGCAGGCAGTACTTTGCTATATTAGTAACGCATATGGGATTTATACTATAAGTACACTGGCTTTCATTTTAGTAATGGACCAATAAATTTAAAATCCTGTTTAGGAAGTATATTCTATAAAATTGTTTAATACTTGGAAAAAAGGGTATTAATATAGATGAACTGCCAGGCTATCATGTGACTGGGTGCGGGATAACCAGATGAGGTTTGGCCACATGAGGTCCTATGCTACAGGTTAGAAGACTGGTAAAAAACTCTATTTTCTCTAGTATATGCAGAGGCCCTATGCATGATCCCTGGTTTGGTTGAGGACAAGCTAACTTGTTTCCAGGTTCTGACTATTATGAATAAAGTTGCTATGAACATAGTCAAGCAAATGTCTTTCTGATAGGATGGAGTTGTAGAGAGTAAACACAAAATACTTGATCGTTATATTAACAGATGAATCAAAGATGCCAAATATGTGTTTATGTCCATATTTTGGGGTGAATAATATTTTGCCTATTGTAAAAATTTCATTACTTGTACTTTAAAATTTTATTTGTTTGTGCATGTTCTTGTGTCCATATATGTGATGGTTAACAAATGCCATGGTGTTGGAGAGGGGAGGACCTTGGACTTCCCACAGGGCAGGGAACCCTGACTGCTTTTTGGACTGGAGAGGGTGTGGGAAGGGGAGTGGGGGGAGGGGGAGGGAAAGGGGAGGAGGTGGAAATTTTTAATAAAAAGAAAAAATAAATTAAAAAAAATTAAAAAAGTACACTGGCAAGCAGAGGAGTACTATGATCTGGACTGAAATAACCAGGCTGCTTTATAGGTGGATAACAAAACATAAGAAACACTAATGGAGCTACTGAGATATGAATGGCAGGTCTGGACTGATTGTTGTCACAGGGATGTAAATTCCAGCATTTGCAATGAATGGAGGTACTATCAGCAGATACAGGCAGGACTAGAACACTGTAGACTGGGCAGTATTAGCTCCAGAGGAGGAGCTCTATTTGGCCTGTGGGCCATGTTCCTATTGTGATGGCACAGTAGATCATTCCTACATTCAACTGTGGAATAAACCACT